TTTATATTTATTAGCATTAATTTTTGCTATTTATTAATATTAACTTTTTTGTACTGCACATTTTTGATTCTTACAAGGAATTTCGTAAAGTAGGAAAATAAAAATAGTGGTAATTATAGGTTTTACAAGTTTTATTGATTTAGGTACAAGCTTTATAGATTTAAACAAGATAAATTTGTGACAAAAAAAAATTTGCTAATGGTACATTATTTAACAATAGAGGTACTAAAAATTAATCAAACACAAATATTACCATTTTTTTTCTTCAGCATAAACTTACATACTATATATTTAGTATATACTTATATAATACATATAAAAAACTTATTTTTTTATGCAATTTTTGTATGTATATACTTAGATATTTTAAAGGCTATATTTACATTACATATTTGTTTTAGTTTATTTCAGCATACATACTTGAAATAAATGTCTGTTAAGTTTTAACATCAATTATCATATCAAAACAAAACAACAATTAAATTTTTAAAAAATAGCCCTAAATTAGTTAAAACAAAAGTTAGTGTAGCTTATTAACAATATATTTATTAACAAACTTATGTTTGGTTTATTAACTTTTTGCTTCTTAAATTTAGTTGCAAAAATTTATGACAATTGAGAACATATAACATAAAATTATAGGCAGTCCCTTTCTTTCCCATACCTGAACAAATGTAACATAAGATAATTTTGTGTAGAAAAATTATGTTTTGTTATATTTTTATTACAAAAATATCTTTAGACGTTCAAATATTATCAAAGGAAAAGGTTTTTAGGGTAAACAGTATAGCTCTATGCAAAGTCTTTACATGAAAACAAACACATAACACTTTATCTCAAGGTCTGTCGTACTGGTTTATCAGTATGAAATTATGTCTGAGTACGGCGTTGGGTATATTAATTAAATTCTAACTGTATATGAAGATTATAATTTCAATAATTATGCAATTTAATGTATATTTACTCACTTTAAGCTTTGAAACTTCATCATAAATAGTTTTGTGTTCGGAAGCACTTATGCCAAAAACCTAAAGAAAAAGTTTTAAAATAGAAAATAAAGAAAAATGTTATATGAATTATTTTAACAGCTTTGTATTTTATATATTACAACATGGTATGGAAAAACTTTTAAACAAAAATATGTAGATGACAGAAGAAAAAAAAAGCTAAAAAAAAATTTATGATTAAAATAGTTCTGATAGAATTGAATTACATGTTCTATCCTGACTAAGGAATCATTCATAAACTATGCAGCGGTAAATTTATTTAAAAAATTAGAATTAGGAGACCATTTTCTTTTTTGCACAATAATTCTCAATTAAGTTAATATATAATTTTATTTTTAGCTCTAATTAAAAATACTGCAAATGAGTACTTATGATCTTTTTTGTTTTGCTTATTGATTAAATTTATTGTTGCATATTTATTTATTGTTGCATAATTGCAAGATTTCTAACTAATTTTATAATAACTGTGTTTAATAATATACCTGTTTTCCATAGCCAAAGATTTCCCCATCACTCAAAGAATCACCACTCTGATCACGTTTACCTAGTTGATATTTCATGGTATATACTAGTTCCTTGTAGAGAAGGAGAGCCTTGAAAAATAAATCAAACAGTAACTATTCTTATAATAGAATAAAATACAAAAGAGTTTGACTTAACTTAATCCTTTTAATTCAATAACTTAACTTAATGCTATTCAATTTTTATCAGCATGATAAAATAACTTTATAGAGGAACATTTTTTTATTATTGCTGTTTAGCAATCATGTAGTGACCTAAAATTACTTAACATACTATGTTATGCAAACATAAGTCACTACATTTTACTAGAAAGAATAGATACTATTTCTAAACATTTAACAACTAATGAGACCTAATGAACTAAATATATTATCTATTTACACAAAATATAAAATAAAAGATATTCTTTTAATTTTTTTTTTAACTAAATTTCAACCAGGTGTGTGCAAAACAAGAAAAAGTCTTAATAAAACACACAAAAAATACATGCTTGAATTTTCTAACTTGAAATTCTACAATTGACTTGAAAAAAAATTGAATTAAACCATACACAACAATATTAAGTTTTTTTGTAAACATCTATATGTTCTTATAACTTTTGTATATTCAGTAGATTATTTATTAAAAAAAAAAAACCTAATATTTTTGTTTAATGTTTGGACAGTGTTGCCAAAAGGGTTATTTATTATTGCAAGACTTGACAAAAGTCATTAATAGAAACTTAACTAGTTATATGCTATATTTTATAACTTAATTATTTATATATAACATTTTTGAATATATATATATATATATATATATATATATATATATATATATATATATATATATATATATATATATATATATATATAACAAGTTCCATAATTTTATATAAAGCTTTATTTATTGAAATTATTTAAAACCAACTTTTTCTTTCTCTGGTGGTTTAAAAATTGATTGGTCTATGGACCATACATCTTCTGCATCAAAATTTCTTTCTTTAATTGAGTTGTATGCTTTTTCAACTCGACTGCTTTGATTAGCTTCTAAAACTGTCATATCCTCAAAAAATGATCCATCTAATACCTTGCCTCTATAATATAAAACAAATTAAAATTTTCACCTTTTTTATACATTTTATACATCAAAGACTAAAAAGACTAATCAGATTAAAAAAAAACAGATTTAATCTTGTTCAAAAAGTCATTTTTTTCTTTACAAGTTAAAGCAAATTAGGCTGAAAACTTTTAATGGCACTCCTCAGCAAAAAACCAGGCAGAATGTTTAATTTATAAAATGATTTTAAAATGTATTGAAAGGTTTTTAAATTTGTTTATGACATCTGTGTTAAAACATTAAAAAAACATATATTATTAATAGAGCTTTGATTGAAAAAAAAAACAAACATAAAAAACTATATTCTTTAAAGGTCATCTCTAATACATAACATATAAAAATACAAATTAAAATGATGAGTTGATGACGTAATATAATTACTTTTAATTCAAAACTTTTTTATATAATAACTGCAGAAATAATTTAGTTCCTAACTGTTGGAGTCATTTTTCAATTCCAATCATTAGAAATTATTGCACTGCTAAAGCATTAAGAATTTAATGTTTTAAAAATGGAAACAAGCTTTTACAAACAAAAGTGCCTAGTTAAGCTTATTTATGAGAACATTTTTAACTATTTTGAGCTTATCAGTCACATGAGATAAAAGAAACAACAATGATTTTTTTTAAACTCCTAAAAACCAATTCAACAAAAAGTCTTTTAGCTTCATATACATAACAAGATTTCTCTCTATTTTCATTTACTGTTTTTTATCATATATTTTGTTTCTTTTATATTTAAAAACAATATAAACTATAAATCACTGTCATAATAAAATAATTTAAAATACTATTCAAACTAAAACCATAGTTATATAATAGCAAAAACATTTTACTTATATTTACACACTTTCATTAAATACCTATGAGATTGGGTATCATTTTGAGCCAGAGCCATAGAATCTCCAAGATTTAACATAAGTTGTCGACTTGCTTGTGATCCAACTTTACGTCTAATTGATACACGCCGCCTTGTTTGTTCTCCATTTTGCATTTTAAAGTGTTTCTTTCTGAAAAGAAAATTATGCAGATTAAAAAAAAAAAAAAAAAAAAAAAACGTCTTATAAAAATGTCTAAAATTTAGCGCTCAAATAGCTTTAAATCGCATGAGCCCAAATGAGCTCTAAATTACCCTGGTAATTTTAAAATACTTTATTTGAAACATTTATTAAACAAAATGATAATAATACAAAATGATTTTTATTATTTTAAAAATTTAGTATAATTAGAAAGATTTTCATAACCACGTTTGAAATAATATATAGTAATAAGAATTATATATTATTTCAAACATGATTATGAAAGTCTTTGATCTACTATGACATTTTTCTACTATGATTTTTGCATATTGGCAGTTGTGCAATCTCTTTAAAAGATATCTAAAATATTTATTAAATTTATATTCAAATCTTATATATATATATACATATATATATATATATATATATATATATATATATATATATATATATATATATATATATATATATATATATATATATATATATAATATATATATATATATATATATATATATATATATATATATATATATATATATATATATATATATATATATATATATATATATATATATATTATTTCTATTGATTATTTCCTTGTTGGCTTTAGACTAATGTTTTTTACTAAAGTTTAGTAAAAATCCCAATATAAATTTTTTTTTACATAAAATAAAAAAATTTTCAACAAAAAATAAATATATTTATATTTTATAGAAAAATAATATACAGTTAAATAAACTTTTTCTTAATACACTTTCTTATTGCTCTCTCATTAAACACATACTCAAGCACACACACGCATAAAAATACACACACAAACACAAACACACACACACACACACACACACACACACAAGCACACACACACACACACACACACACACACACACACACACACACACACAAGCACACACACACAAACACACACACACACTCACAAAAACTTTATTTAAATTAGTTTAAGTCATCTAACATATTTTATTTTTTATTTTTTACAAATTATTTTATAATTATAATTTATATAACATAAATTTCTTTCTTTAATTTAATATTAAATTTTAAAAAAGTTAATATTCTTATATCATAGTATTTAGTATTCAAAAATAACTAATTTACTCAATTTTGTAAATACGATTTTGTTGTTTTGTTTACTTATCCGTATATTTCTTATCTTGTTTCCGTACTTAATTTGTATTTTATTAATATTCATAGTTACATTGTTTGGAAACACTTTTAGATTAACTCCTTATTCATTTATAGTCACGCGATTCCTAAATATTTTATATATGAATATCTTTTTTTATGTTTTGGTTTTTAATTTTAAAATTGCCTGGAGTTTTATTTTTAAACCTTTGTTTACTACAGTCATAACCACTGATCTCAATTTAGTTATATAGATCAGTGTGTTGTCTCAATATTTTTATTGAGATAAGTGTGATCTCAATAGAGTTGCATTGAGATCAATACAGTTACATTGAAATACATAGCAATAGCGAAGGTTGTCTCTTGCAGCTATTAAATTCAGCAGATAATTTAATAATTTTTTCATTGGTTAAAATGATATTGAAAATATATTGAAAAATAGAATTCATTTTTGAAAACATTTCAAATAAACAACGACAACACTATGCTTAAGATTATCTTTAAATACTTAGATAATCTTCGATAATAAATTAAACCAACAAAATGTGTAAAAGTGTAATTAAAATTTTTTATTTTAAATCCTAAACTTAAAGCTTATTTGCATAAACAAAAAAATTGCTATAGTATAAGTAATAACTAAATTTAGTCGAAACCCCCGTCATTTGCAAACTTTTTATTTTTGACAGTCGTCTAATTTATATAGTCGTTAATAATAGAATATAAAAAGTTTTTTATCATTTTTATAAAATAGTAAAAAATATATTATAAAATAACCCTCCGCCTAAAAATGTAATTATTCCTATTTTTAAGGTAACCTCACAAGCAGAAATGTCACATATAGTCGGATTAGAAAGTTGTAAAATTATATAATCATTTTACTTAATTAAGTAATTCTAATTTTTAATGGCTTTGATTAAATGCCCGGTCGGAAGTCGGCTAGCGAATAGCTAGTTATAATCGAAACGATAAAGGCAGCGTTTGGCCACGAGGATCACTAGTTAGCGAAAAACTATCGATATTTGTAAACATAAAGACAGCGATTTGGCTACGAGGACAGCTAGCTTAATAACCTAAAGACCCACTGGCTACTAGCTAGCTATTATCCATTATTATATATTATATCATATTATTATATATATTAGCTATTATTATTATTATATATATTAGCTATTATTATATATAGGCTATTAGCGGATTAAGACTTTTTGGGGCCCAGGGCTGTTTTTGTTTTTGGAGGCCTTTTTATGGGCCAGAACCTAAAAATGACTTACAAATAAAAAAATAAAGGTCCTTAAAAAATTTTTGGGGGCCCCTAAATTTGCGGGGCCCCGGGCTATAGTCCCCCTAGCCCCCTTAATCCGGCACTGGCTAGCGTCATACCGTAATAAAATCGCTGTCTAAAAAATTTTTATATGTAGTTTCATCTCAAATTTTCAAAATCAACCAGTTATAAATTTGTAGATATTTTGCAGCTAGCTACAAAACTCCGATATGTAGCTAGCGACACACAAAGAGTATTTTATTTAGAATTAATAATAAAAATACTCATTCAAAGTCATAAAAATATATAGTTTATTATATGTTTGTAATTAGATAATTATTTACTATGTGAAGTAAAACTTTTGATTTTTTTTTAATTTTGTCTAAACTGATATTGAAATGTTTCACCGGATGATGAAGTCTAAACTAATTGATTAACTACATAAAGCGCGTGATAATAGTTTATTTTCATTTTTAAAAATAAACGCTAATGAGTAATAAATTACAGCATTATGGAATCATATGAAACCATTGACCAGGATAATTATATATTATATTGTCTAAACATGTAAACTTTTATTTTGCAACAATTTTTCTACATTTTTAGATTACTCATCACCTATCAGACTAGAGTAAGTGTTATCGAAACATTAGGCTTTACGTTAATTAAAACTTCAGCAGTTTTGCTCAAACTTTTACTCAGTAATTTCTCAGCTTTACACAAATAAAAACTTAAGTAAAATTGCTAAAGTTTTTATTCACGTAAAGATGACCGAGTTAAAGCAATTGTTCACCCGGCCCATTTGGTGTCTGTTGTAAAAGCAAAAAACTAAGTAGAAGAAATGATAGGAATTGATTATGTATACATATCTATCCCCAGCAGTAAAAGAAAAACAGGTCAAATAAAACTCACTTTTATAGAGCTATATAAAGTTTGCAACTAGAATAAGTGATATTCAAAAAATAAAATAGAACCAATAATCATATATTAGTTGTACCCTTGAAATAGGGTATAATCATATATTGTTTATATAAATAATCATATATTATTTGTACCCTATTGAAATAGGGTACATATAGTATATGATTATTGATTCTATTTCTGGTCACATACATAAGTTTTGACTATGCAATAATTTTTTTGATTACAATAACAATAAATTATTATTGTATTATAAAGATGAATTACAATACAATATTTATTATTATTGTAGTGGGTCATTACAATTCTTTTTTTTTTCCAGATTTTGTTATTGTATTATAAAGATACAATACAATATTTATTGTTATTGTATTACCGTATTAAAAAAACTGTAAATCTATAAAAACTGTAAAAAACTGTAAATGGTATTGTCATTGTTTCTAAAAAAATGATACAGCAACAATAGCTATTGTTTCTGTTACAGGGCCGACGACATGGGGGGCCAGGGGGCACGTGCCTCCCACTTTTTATCTAAAGGATCTTTTTTTTTTTTTTAAGAATCTTATATAGATTAATCTTATATAGATATAGAGGACTTTTTTCACAAATTGATGATTGTGCCCCCCCCCCCCCACACACACACACTCATACACTTCAAAACCCGTGTCGTCGGCCCTGTGTTATTGTTTTCATTACAATTACAACTGTCCGAACTCTCTAAACTAGCACGTAGACGTTATTATTATCCGAGTCAAAGAGAAGGTATCAATGTTGGCCAGCACAAAAAAAAACTTGATAGTCAGCTATAAAAATAATAAAAAGTTTGACTGCAGAAGTATTTTAGGATTTATTGAATATAAAGTAACATAAAAATTAAAAATAAATTGCTTTCTTTAATGTAAAATGAAGGTTTATTTTAAAAATGTTACATTCTTATTTTAATACTTTGAAAAACTAATTTAACTTTTTCATTAAACATTCTCAGTTATGAAAAAAACAAGGAAGAAGTTAAAAGAGCAAGAAAACGATTTAAAAAAACTAAGAAACGTTAGGAAGTATATGGAATCAAAAAATGATATATGGAAAAACAAATGAGGTGAGATAATTCAAAAAGCTGATAAACCAATTTTTTCTGGAAAATCTTAAAGTTTTGTGGTGCCCTCAGAAGCTCTTTGCTAAGATCGTAATATCTTATCACAGACCTTCTGGGGGCACCTTTATAATCACAAAAAAAAAAAAAAAAGTAATAACGTGTATGCGCAGTAGTTAACAATTTTAGAAAAATACATTCAGAAAAAAAAAAAAGGCTACTATCCGGTGGGAAATTAGCTTACGATTAACAAGCAACATTCTTAAAGATCAAGATTGCAATTTGGCCACAAGATTAACAGTTTAATCCGGTTATTGACTAGTTATATAGTTATTGGCAGGTAGTAGTAATATCTTAATAACGTCTTATTTGTATAAATAAGGTTTTGCAAGCTTTCTAGAATCATGTTATACTTATCGACACCTCGTAGTTTTATCTTTTACTAGAAAGATAGAATATCTAGCTATCCATATGTCGTAGTAATATCACTTTTTAAGGTTCAATTAATTCCATTAACAATAAAGAAAAACAATTTTTTCACAGAAACAATAAAATCTAATAATAATAAAAAAA